CCACGCTGCTGTGTCCTATACTGCCTATTCATTAATCTAGGCTCACTTTCTTAGTTTTTTGCTTATTTCTTTTGTTTTCACTTGAATCCTCTCTGGAGATCCTAAGTAAGGCTGCTAATGACTTCCTTGGTGAGAGAAGGAGGGTGGGGAACATACAAAGCAGCTCTGTTCACTATGTTTTAAGACTCAACTGTCTCTTCATTTTCCCCATTTCTTTTTAATATTGCTTAAATATTTACAATTGCATGTATGAGACTATATACACCCCTATATAAGGATAACAGTTGTCACAAAAGATATTTCATTTTGCTAACTACTATTTGAATGAATGATTAAGTTTCACTGTTTATTATACAAAAACACTTAGCAGATATCTTCCAAAGTTTACTCCGTCTATTCTGAAAAATTTCATGCAACAGGCTATTTCTCTCCCTTTACTTAAGCATGCATTCTTCAGCCACTTCATTTTGTAAGGTTTATGTAAGGGTTGTCATTGGTATGTTTTTTAAAAATGGCTATAAATTATTACCTTCCTGTATCCACTCTCTTTACAGCTCTTGCCATCATTAGAGTCTGATCCTTCATGATTTGAATCTTAGCAGCCTTGTACTTGGCTTTGGCCAGTAGAATGTGTAGAAGTTGCTGTGGACCACAGCTGAGTCTCCTCCTCTAAAGAGCCCTACAAGCTTCTGCTTTTAGTCTTGGAACTCTGACACTCCCTAAGGACAAGCATAACTGAGTCTGTTGGAGGATGAGACATCAAGTAGCAAAGTGAGGAGTGATCACAGTCAAGGCTTCAGCAGTGTGAGAACTGAGTTAAGATCAGCTTAACCTGGGGCTGGGGATTTAGCTCAGCGGCACAGCACCTGCCCGGCAAGCGCAAGGTCGTGAGTTTGATCCCTGGTACCGGAAAAAGAAACCAAAAAAAAAAAAAAAAACAAATATCAGCTTAACCACTGAAGCCACTTAACCATGTATTCTGCAAAGGATCCAACCAAGACTAGGAAAACTGCCAGAACCCAATTTAAATTATTAATTTGAAATACCATGAATTAAATAAATGGTTGTATACAAACCATTAAATTTGAGGGTAGTTTATTATATCATAAAAGCTCAATAATAGAGAAACTAACAAACATCATTCACTCACTGGCTCATTCTTTCAGTCATTTAACAAATAATTATGGTATACTCTGAGGCAGATGCAGATCACATACATATAATACTTTATTTTATCTCTGGGGGATAAAAGATCATAATCTTCAAAATTTTTTCCCATTTCATGGAAAAACTCATGCATTCTGGAAGCAATGGAATATTTGAGACCCAAATCATCAAATTCATGCTTTATTATGACATTAAAATCAATAAGACCATTTGTTTGTATACTTAGACAAGACTGGGTTTTGAGAAAAAAGTGTGATTTCTCCTGAGACAGCTACTGAAATCTGGGCACTGAGAGTTAGTTGGACTCAATTATCACAAAAATATGTCACCCATATAATAGACTCATGGTCTAAGCTATATTATCCTCAATAAATTAAGACAAATGCTTGCACTTTCTGACATTGACCAAAAATAAAAATTCTGCTCAATTAGCAACATGATCCTACACTTAATAGAAGTGTGTTAAGAGATGGAATGTTTACATTCCTAAGTAATATTGCTTTAAGAAAATAGTCTAGGTGTTGCCTGGTTTAAGCTTCATCCTAGAATCTTATTTAATTCCTCTTTCAATTCATAATCCAAACCACAGAGTTCATAGAGTCATAAACTCATGCTCTAAGTGTGCCTCCCTAATTATTGTATATACGGCTGACAGCCAGAGAGCAACAAAATGAGGGCACCAGTTTGTTGTTGAAAACGGGACAATATGATTCAGAAGCAGATATGGAAATGTGGAAATCAGAGAGACCACAGTAGCAAGAAGCGTGTCAAAAAAGAAGCAGGAGGTAAAAGAGTAATCTTAATATTTATTTGTTGTCCATGGCTGAGTTTATTTTTTTGGGGGAGAGGTTGTTTTGTTTTATTTTGCTTTGTTTTTGTGGTACTGAAGCTCCCTCTCTGTTTTGAGACAGAGACAGTGTCTTACTAAGTTGCCCGGGCAAGGTTCAAACTTGCAATCCTCCTGCCTTAGCCTCCCAGAGTGCTGGGATTACAATCATGCTCAACTATGCAAAGCTAACTTTTTGGTGTACCCTTTAGGTCTCACTTTCATCTTATCCATTTGAAAATTTTTTTCCCTGATCATTATGCCCAAAGAATGCTTACTAACTGTTAAAGTCAATATAGTAGTATCTTTTATCCATCAGAAATATGCTTCTAGGACCCCAGTATCTTCTGAACCCTAAAAATACTACCATGATTTTTTCTCTATATGTATATGCATACATATGATAAAGTTGAATTTATAAATTAGATACTGTAAGCAATTAATAACAATAACCAATAATGAAATAGAAAAATTATTAATAGCATAATAAAAATGTCATCATGAAGTAAAGTTAGGATTACTTGAACACAAGTACTTTGAAATCTCCACAACTAATCCAATAACCAAGACTGCTGCTAAGTGAGTACATATATAGTGTGGACACTCTGGACAATGAATGGATGATTTACATCCCAGACAGGATATAGCAGCATGTCATAAGATTGCATCATACTGCTTGAAATGGCATGCACTTTTAAACTCATGAATTGTTCATTCTGATTTTTCATTTGATATTTTTGGGCCATGCTTAACTACAGATAACTGCAAAAGTGAAACCATGGATGAGGACTAGAGTATCATAAGTACCTGTTTCTTTGAACTTTTTATAATTTGTATTTATAGGCTATGTCTTAGTTATTTTCTCATTGCAGGGACAAAATCCCTGACACCCACAAGTTAAAGAAGGAAAGGTTTGTATTAGCTCACAGTTTGTAGAAATCTCAGTCCATAATTGCCTGGCTCCAAAGCAGGGCAGCATGGCAGAGAAGAAACAGTCCATGACAGAGCAGGCAGAACATTCTTTTTCCTTTTTATTCTATTCAGGCTACAAGCCTCTTAGTTAGTGTTACCCCCACGCAGGATAGGTCTTCCTATTATTCATACTCAGAACTACGCTAAACCAATCAGTGGACTAATCCAGTTACCATACGCATAATCTAGTATTACACCTATGATCCAGCACATGAGGCATTGAGGTGACATCTAGATATAAAACATAATAGATTATTCATTTATTATCTATTTCTCTCTTCATTATAAGATCTATGGGGTAAGGGACTGTGTCTGTTCTGCTTTGCCTAGTGTTCTCACAGATCTCTGAACATAGTTGGAGCTCAACAAGCCTTTCTTAAGTAAATAGGTAAATGCTGATAGCATTAAAAAAGGAAAGGAAGACAAGGAAAACTTCTCAAAACCTCTGTGCTTAGAAGACTAATGGTTCTGAAACATTAATGTGCACACAGATCATCCAGAAGTATTGTTAAAATGCAGGGTCTGATTTGGTAGTTATAAAGTGGAGTAAGATTTTGCTTTTTTTTTTTTTTTTTTTTTTTACAACAAGCAGGTGGTGCTGCTGGTCTAGACCCACACTTTGACTAGGAGGAGCTTCGACCACAATTCATTATAACTGTCTTCAATGATTTAGTCTGACCTTTTAAATAGAGATCTCTTAGGAAGAGGAATGCAAAGCTCATTTCTGACTTTGCTCTAAGGTTCATATGGAGGAGATTTCATATTAAATTATTTTAGTATTTCCTGTATTAATCTTGTTTGATAAACTAAGAAGTTTCAATCAAGGAATAGTGACTCCTAAGAAATTTGTAATTTCTCCTTTTTTACAAGGAAAACTCAGGGATTGAGCATATATCCTTTTTGTATTCTGACCAACAAGACTAGGAAGCCAAGCTTTTGGCAGGAATATAACAATTTCTTTAGCTACAGACTAGTGTAATCATGCTTTACCATCTTTCAGGACTTTACTTCCATTTCTAATTTATATTTTACTTTGTGCAGATCTCTCCTCTATTAATAACACTGTATAAATAAATATTCATAGAAATTGAGGTAGAATTTCAGCAATGGGCAAATCTTAAGTATGGAGATTTTAAAAATGCCCTGAACAGAGTTAAAAATATTGAGAATTGAGCTGATTAATATGGTTGTGTCTGAAGACTGAACTGTTAGGACACTTATTAAGTGTCTTAATTGTTAAGACACTTCCAAATGCTTACTATGATATGGGAGCAATGCCATCATGTTTTGTTTTTGTAACACACTGGCAATGGAAACTAAAGTAATGAGGTGAGATACTAATGCCAAAGTACTACTGATACTACACTTCAAGCCTCAGCTAGCTTCTCCTTTGAGATGGTGAGCTCAGGCAAAAGTACAGTATCTCATTTGTCTTGCTCATCTTAGTTCCTAGACCTTCAGTACCTGATACCCTGCAAATACTTAAAACATTTTAAGATATAGTAATAAATGAAACTGTTTGTATCCTAAAAAAAAAAAATCAGTGTTGCTTATCTTTACATCTGTATAAGCTTAAATCTATAAATCTTGTTATTATTGTTATTAATCTATATTACACAATAAAGAAACTGAGACCTGTATAATTTAGAACTTTCCCAGCATCACCCCCTGATCTATAAGAGCTTGGGGTTGAGTGTGTGTAGAGCCCAGGACTTTAATTACTCAGCCACAGAGGCAAGACACTAGAGAAACCCTATTAACTGACTCTAGTACTTTAAAAGTCTATTTTTTAAATTCCAAGAACAAATACAGATTATTATTTATTCAATAGTGCTAACTCACAAGTCAAAATAAACCATTGTGACTTAGTCTTCGCTTGAAGAAACATTTGCTAACCTGGCAGTCACTGAAGGCTGACCCCACGTTCTAGAAGCCAAGTGAAACAGTGTATATGGAAAGGAGCTGGGGCTAAGTAGCGCTGACAGGAAGTCTGGTGGTGGGAACGCCAGAACAGAGCACAGCCAGGGCCGGGAGGAGCGCGGGCGTATTGTTCCGGGAAGCTGCCTGCTACACAGGGGACAATAATCGTCGGCGGACCAGACGCTGAGTGGGGCGGGAGAGACCTTGCGGAACTGGGGTGACGGTAGGTACTTTCAGGACTCATCACGGGTGACTCTGAATTCGCACTCTTTTCGGGTAGGGCCTGCATACCTCCGCACAGTATCCTGAGTCCCTACAAGCTTTTACCCCAGCCACTCGTCTAACACCCGCGAGCCCTCGGGCTCCACCTCAGAGTTAAACGTAGGCCGGGTGGCTACAGGACGGTGGAGAGGACCCGAGCCCTAGCTTCTGGCCGGGAATCTCGCGGGCCGCGCGGCGCTGTGGTGAGGAGGCGGCTGAGCCTGCCTCGTCGTCAGCACGTGGGGACCTGTCTGCAGGCATCTGGGACAGCAGGCCCGGGACGCAAGCCCTTGCTAACAGGAACTCTTCTTTCTAGAAGGAAGCTACGCTGGCGCTTACCTGGGGGGGCCCTGAAAATTAAAAATCAGTTTCTGCTGCTCAAGATAGAATATAATACGCGCTAAATCACCAGTTTGACCCCTGGTTTACTGGGCAAGACCATATTCCCTGGAAAGAGCTGGTCGTAGTTTCCTACGGAGGAAGGGTCAACTAAGAGGCATTGAAAGGACTTGGCTGGCTCACCCAGGGTAACCAAAGGAATAACATGGAAAGATAGCAGATAGAATATACTCTCCCCGAGTACTCTGGAATTGAACCCAGGGCTCTCACAACCTTTTCATATTTTTTATATTGAGATAAGTTCTCTAAGTTACCCAGACTATCCTCAAATTTGCATCCTTGCCTCAACCTCCCAGAATGTTGAGATTGTAGGCTTGTGGCCAACCACACCTGCCAGGCTGCAAATGGAATATTAGTGATGAGTTTTTTGTTTGTTTTTGGAGTGCTAGGGTACTGACCCTGGGCTTTTAGTCTTGCTTGGCAAAATGCACTGCCACTGAGGTACAGTCTCAACTGAAAACACATAACTAAAACTCTTATTCTTCACTTCAACAGTTAGCTAGCTATTCCAGAAGGTTAATCTGACTCAAAACTACAAGAGAATGGAAGTTCATAGAGACCGTTTTAAGCACATTAATTTTTGTACGTCCTTTATTTACCAAACATGTACCAAATAAAATATGAAACCTAGCAGATGAGCAGAAAATATTTTTTGTGGCACACTTAGACAAATATGTTTACATTCTTAAATTACCAAGTACTTACATGTAGAAGTCATGTTTCAGATTTAATAATGCATCAGATTTTAAGTCCAGCCATGCCAATGGCAAAGAGTTATAATAAATTATAACATATTCAAAAAGAGAAGGCAAATCTGACCATGGCATGATCAGATTTTCTAATATGGACAAATAATATCTATGTAAGTGCATTATCATTGCACTAATTTTAGATTTGTTTAGAGAAAATTTAACTAGGTAGGAGTGGAAAAGACCATGTATTTGACCTTTGTTAATACTAGGTATAACAAAAATTTTGAGTAAAATGGAGCTCAAGTTGGGTGCTTCATAAGTAGAGTGTAAGAATATTAGTGTTTGAGTTATGGCCACTATTGTGATACTTTAGATCTTTCTTATTTACTTAACACTATCTATTTTTCACTAGTTCAAGCATGGATCCAAGCAGTGAAGGATGTACAAAAAAGGTCAGCAGTGTGAATATTGACAAACTTATAAAGGATTTCTTGCACTTAGAAAAGGTATGTAAAAATAACAAATAGTTACAATATATAAGAAACATGGAACAGTTTGTCATGGAAGAAATAGAGAAGAAAAACTTACATAATGTTACAGATAATAAAAAATGTATTTTTGCTAAGCCTTGTCTCATTTTTAAAGTCTGTATTTAGAATATATCTGACATTTTACTCATTTGTATAATATCAAAATGTTTGTAGGGAAGGGGATCTAACAATTGATGTACTCCTGTCAAAGTTAAAGGGAAAATACTGAAATGCCCAGTGTGTCCATAAAATCAGAACTAGTTTTAATAAGTAGACTAATCTTTCAGTCTCCTGCCATTATGACTTTTTTTTTAGTTTCCCCCTATTCTATCTATTCCGTTTTCCTTCTTTTTTACCAGAAACTTTTTCTTCTTTTTGAGACAGAGTCTTATCATGTAGTCCAGGCTGGCCTTGAACTCATGTTGAGCCTCCTGCCTCAACATCCCAAGTGCCTCCACACCTAGTTTACCAGAAACTATTTGACATCCCTCTTCCTTACCCTGGACACATGGTAGACCAAACCTATAACTATATAGCATATGGGTTTTTTTTCCTCCTCTTCTGCCAGAGAAAGGAATCAGAATAGCTGTTTGAAAAAAATGTAGGTGAATAAATTAAAGATTTGAGGAGTATGTTAATAATATAGGAGTATAAGAGAAGTAAGGACTGCCTGTGTTCTATTCTTACTATCCTTTCTATCTCTTCAAATTGCAAGGATTAAAGATTTTTCATGATGTTTTGGGGCAAACATCAAGAGCTTTTTGTGAACTATGATCTTGAATTTTCCTAAGTGATTTTCTTAAATGGGGGGTAAGAAATAAGATGCACTATTGGTAAACAAGTACAAGGTTTTATGGAGATTAATTTGGGAAATATCTATCATGTTCTTAAAAAACATTTTTTGAGACAGTTTTACTGTGTAATTCAGGCTGGCCTCAAACTCATGGGAATCCTCTCATTGCTTATTTTTTGCTATGATAATAGCCTTGTGATAATACTTTGAGTCTTATGTCTTAGAGATGCATATAGGTGGTAATACTTAAAAGATGAAATGATATGTCAGTTGCTTTAAGGTAAAACCAGAAGTGATGAGATTAGAGAAATGGGTAGCTGTATAGATAGTACAGGATTGGTCATGAATTGGTAATTTTTGAAGTTATTTGAAGAGTACCTGTAGACTTACTATACTGAGACATGTTGAAGAATATTTATTCCTCCTCTGTAACAGCAAAAATGATATAAACAAACCAAATTCTCTCCGATAGGAAACTAGTTAAATAAATTATAACATATTCAACAATTAAACTTGATGCTGCTGTTAAAAAGAGTGGTATAGGTATATATGTTGCTTATATGATATTATCTCCCAGATAATAGTGCTAAGTGAAATAGCCAAGATGTGGGATAGAAAAATATGATCCTTTTCTGTAATCATATAGCCAGAAAATAGTTTGGGAGCATACATAAGGAATTTTGTTACTGTCATTGTACAAAAAGGTTTTCTTGGTTTGTGTCTGTGTGTGTTTTTTGGTGTTTTGTTTATTTTGTTTCGTTTTGTTTTCTGAGACAGGGTCTTACTGTGTTGCCCAGGGGATCCAGAACTACTGAGCTCTTGAGGTTATGTTGCCTCAGCCACCTGAGTACCTGGTACTACAGGCTTGTACCCCACCGTCTAGCTGAGAATCAGTAACCACGAGAGAGTAAAGATTGAATAGTTGGAAGAAAGTGTTTTTGTTAGCTTGTTAGATCATATTTTTGCTTCTTATTTATAATTGTCAGTCTGTTTAATGGTAAATATTTTACTGTGTTCTTTCTTTTCATTACTGCAAAATAGACCTAAAACTTCATACATGCTAGACAAGCTCTCTACCACTGACCTGCATTCCCAGCCTTACTATGTTACTTTTTCCTGTCACCTTGTTTTGAAATTCTGTGTCTTTTTTACTGGGGTTTTTTGTCTTTTTTTTGTTCATCTCTTTAAAAAAATCAAAAGTACATTAGAAATTTTATTTAAAGTTACATTCTAGATAGAACTATTAGATTTTCATGTGTTGATTCATATTCTCATTAGTCTTCATATCACCAATAAAAGAATCAAAATAGCAGCACTGATTTGGTGATAATATATATTTGATTTCTTCCACAGAAAATAATAGAAACCACTGGAAAGAATAATGTACTGGAGATTCAGTTGGAAAAGACCACCTGTTTATTAAAAGTAATGCAAACAAAGGAAGTCTCATTTAAAAAAGGTTAGTTCTTTGCTACCTGAAGAAATACTAATTCTAGTGAAAGTATTTTTAGTACATTAATTAATATTGTATCATGCATTTATAAAATGTTTTAAATTCACATTGAACTTTTCAGTCTATCATCTCATTTTAGCCGTAGTATTACTCTATTTCACTTTTTTTTTTCCCCCCGGTATCAGGAATTGAACTCATGACCTTGCGCTTGCTGGGGAGGCGCTGTGCCGCTGAGCTAAATCCCCAGCCCCAGCCTTAGTATTACTCTAAAAGGATAAGATTAGTATTTTTACCTTTTAGCAGGGGAAACAATAAAAGAAGTTAAATAATCTATCTGAGGTTACTCATCTAAGAAATAGCAAATTTTAATACATAAGCCTATAAAACCATAACACGTAAGCCTATAAAAAGGTTGAATTTCTACATCACAGTTATACCAAAATAAAAGCAGATGAGTTGATAATTTTAGGACTAAAATTGAAACTTTTACATGTATATTTTTTTTTTCGGACAACTAGAGGGCCTAGATGTTACAATTCCCCATTATCAGTGAAGACACTTAGTACCCTGATCATGGTGTCTAATTCGATAATCTAATAAAAGGAACTGTCTAATTCTAGGACTAGGGCAGGAGATAAATAATATAAACTTGAAGTATCATGTAGTGCTAAAAATTACAATAGTGCCCAAAAAGAAACAAAAAACCACGATAATGATAGTACGTCAAAAGGGACAAAGAAGTCAACTGAAGGAACTCTTACTACATAAAGCTGGAGCACACTGGACAACAAAAAAAGTAGTGTTGTGTTATAACCCAAAATAGAAAATAAATATCCACAAATCCATTCTCATAGGTATATATAAATAAATTAATAAATAAACGGGGAAAAGGACAAAGGTTAATGCTGGGGGAAAGTAACTATACAGTAGGGAAACCAGACAAATACTACTTCAGCTACATGATCAAGATCAACATCAGGAGTATTATCATGTTGGTATTATGTACTCTTAATATTATATAATGAAAATGGCCCTTTATCTCTATGGTCTTTCTCCCCATAACCCATAACACCAGTGTAATCAAGGGATAAACATTACATAGATTTTCTTAGAATGACATTGCAAAATACCAGGCCAGTACGTGGAAAAACTGTCAGCCATCAAAAACTAGGAAAATGAGGGGCTGGGGATTTAGCTCAGCGGCAAAGTGCCTGCCTGGCAAGCGCAAGGTTGTGAGTTCGGTGAAAAACCGGAGAAAAACCAAAAAAAAAAAAAAAAAAACTAGGAAAATGAGAATTGTCACATCCAAAAGAAACCTAGGAAAAATACAAATATATGTGATGTGGTATAGTACCTGAGATCCTAAAACAGAAAAAGGACACTGAACAAAAAATAAGGAAATCTGAAAAAGTATAGATTTTACCTAATAATGTATCAACATTGGTTCATTATAATAAATGTATTATACTAATATAAGGTGTTATAATAACAATAATAGAGTTGACTGTGTGTGGGTAATTCTCTTTTATATCTTCTCAATTTTTCTCTACATCAAAAATTGTCCTAAAAAATAAAATTTATTAAAGGTCAAAAGATGAAACCACAAAAAGAAGAAAATATAAATTTTTTATTTTTATGATTTAAAAGACCTTTCTAAGTGTGTGATACAACGTGTAGAAATGATAAAAGATTTGTTAGTTTGAAATTTTAATTAATAGATTTTGGAGCAGTTTTAGATTTATAGAAAAAAATGAAAATACAGAGTGCCCATATATTCTCTCATCCCTCCAATTTCCCTATTATCAACATCTTGCAATTGTGTGATACATTTGTTATAATTCTTGGAGCAAGATTGAATTTTTATTAAGTGAAATTTATAGTTTATGTTAGTGTTTAGTCTTTATGTTTGACATTCTGTGGGTTTTGATGAATTTATATGATATATGTCCCCAAGTGATATTATCATATCAAATAATAATTCCAGTTCTCTCAAACAATATTTATTCATCCTTCCTTCCCTGCAACCACCTGAATCTTGGACAGTCACTTACATTTTTACTGTCTACAGTTTTGCCTTTTCCATATCATATAGTTGGAATCGTGTAGGACCTAACCTTTTCAGATTGACTTCTTTCATTTAACAGTCTACATTTAAGGTTCCTCCGTATCTTTCTTTGGCTTAATAACAAAATTCTTCTGTTGAATTATTTTTTTTTTGGTTTTTCTTCGGTACCGGGAACCGAACTCACGACCTTGCGCTTACCAGGCAGGCGCTTTTGCCGCTGAGCTAAATCCCCAGCCCCTGTTGAATTATTATATGGAAGCACCACATTTCTTTATTCATTCACCTACCAAGTGGATTTCATCCAACTTTTGGTCTTTATGCATAAAGCTGTTATCAGCATGCATGTACAGACTTGCATGTAGACAAAAGTTTCAGCTCACTTGGGTAAACAGCAAGGAGTGCTATTGTTGCAGCACATAGTAGAGTGATCGAGATGGTAATTATATTAGTTTTGAGGACCAAGTACTATAGAAAATTCTATAACTGCTTGTGTTACTCAGCTTTCTATTACTATCACAAATACCTAAGATAACTTAAAAAGAAGAAAGATTTATTTAGCTTACAGTTTTGGAGGTTTTAGCTCATAATCAATTGGCCCCTTTCCTTTTGTTTTTTTGTTTATTGGTTGGTTTTGGCTGGCTTTTGTTTTTTAGTTGTGGGGTTTGATTTTTTTGTTTGTTTATGTGTTTTGCCTTTTCTGTTTGAGACAGTCTTGCTGTGTTGCCCATCTCAAACTCCTGAACTCAAATGATCTTCCCACCTCAGCCTACAAAGTAACTGGAGTCACATCCAGCTGGCCCTGGGTGCTCCACTGCACCCAGCTGGTCCTGTTGCTTTGAGTCTATAGCAGCCCATCATAGTGGGTGTGCATGGCAGAGGAAGCCTACTCACCTCATGGCTAGGTGTGAAAGAAAGGAAGAGACCAGGGTTATGCAACTCCCTTTAAGGGCATGCACCCAATGACCTAACTTCCTTCCACTAGGTTCTACCTTCTAAAGGTTCCACAACCTCCTAGTAGTGCCACTGACTAGGGACCAAGGCTTTAACTATAGACTTTTGGGGGACATTTTAGGTCCAAACTATATTAGTCCTTTAATTGCACTTAATATTTCTAACTAATCCATGAAATATAAATTAGTACCCAAGTTGCTAATTAATATCTCATCAGTGGATTTATCCAGTAATGAATATAGCACTCCCATGATCCAATTAACTTCCAAAATTAATATCAGAGCTTAAATTTGAGCTCAAAATGATTGCTTGTTTATTACATTTTATAATAAATAGCTTACTATTATGAATTCTGGTTTCGAGGAAGAATTTGATAGGACAGTATTCTTCAAATTACACAGTAAAACCAAACAGAAAAGACAAGGTAGATTAAGTTTGCAAAGAAAATTAAAAACCATTATTTTAAGTACTGAATGGTATTGTAGTTTATAAAGATTTCCTTGTTGAACCAATTTTCCCTGTAGAAAAAAGTGTGGTGAGAGAGCCACCTGTGTTCAAATTTTGGAAATACGCTTTTTTATTTGTGCATACCTGTAAACCAGATTAGTGAGCTACCTTTTGTTCAGATCTTGAAAATGCACTTTTCATTGGTGTGTACCAGTAAGACAGAATAATACTGTTCATTTGGTTTGTTGGTACATGCATATAACACATTTTGATCAGTTTTGAACCCCATTACTCTTCTCTCCCTTTTCTCCCTCTTGCACTGATTCCATTCTCCCATTTCTAAAAATCTACCTTCTGGTTTCCTATCATCTCTCCTTAAAGTACACATTTTTGAGACAAATCCAATGTACTTTCAGTTGCAGGGTTGCTTTCAACTTGCTGACTACTGACATAACTTCAGCTATCATATTTCATTCATTGCTAGATTCATTACAATAAAAGATACAAAGACAAGTGACTGCAGGAAATATCTTTCCTTAATTTTTTAACTGTATCAGCTAGCACAAACCAAGTTCTCAGCTAATGTCTATCAAAGGTAATTTAATATTCCATTATGGGATACTGCAAAGTAGAGATGTGATGATGGTGAGATCTTTGTCTGGATGGTGGGGACAGCAGGGAGAAGAAAGAGTGAAAGGCCACAATAGTTGAACCTAGTATGTACATAAGACTTTTAACTTTTACAGAATACTTTAATTTCTATCAGCATAGGTGAAGAAGTATATGAAGACTGAGGGAAGAACTTTTAATCAAAAAGTGAATCACAATATTGCTTCTTTCATTCAGTCAACAAAATATATATTATTTTCTGGCCAGAGCTTTTCCACTTAGCCCTTTCCTGCCCAGGCTTACAGCAGTATTGCCTACCTGTACATCAATCACTCAGCAAATATTTGTGGATTGCCTACAGTGGACAAGCCCTTTAAGTACTGGAAGAAATTGTTGGCAATACGAAGACTAGTCCCTGCTGCTGTGGAGCCTAAAGCAGGGCAGACTCACAAGTCACAGAACTTCTCACCACTTGCTGCACATCAAATGCATAGCTATTGCTAATAACTAATGTTGTAATCAAGGTTTAAATGCACATATTAGGGTTTTAGTTTTTTCAGCAAAGATTCTGTCTCCCATTAGTAAACCATTGTTATGGTTTTATGTCTGAATGTCCCCCCAAAACCTCATGCAGTCATGGGGCAGGCTTTTATTTTTTTTATTTTATTATTATTTTTTTTTTTTTGGTTTTTCTCCGGTACCAGGAACTGAACTCATGACCTTGCGCTTGCCAGGCAGGCACTTTGCCTCTGAGCTAAATCCCCAGCCCCGGGGCAGGCTTTTAGAGTTTATGATTGATCCATGATCCAATGCTGGGATTATGAGTGTGAGTACTACATCCACCCTGGGCCGGATAGTTTGCATATGTAAGGGAGAAAAAGAGGCTGCTTGCCTCCACTCCTCCCCTTTTGCTGTTGTTGCTTTTGTGGTTTCCCACCTCCATAAACTGTTGCCCTCTGCCATTTGGCACTCTGCCTTGGAGCCAGCCCACTAAAACCTCCACAAACTGTTAGCTAAATAAATCCTTCCTTAATTCTGGGTGTCAGGTATTTTGTCTCAGCAACAAGAGGAAAAGTAACCAAGACAACCATTGACACCAAAGTTGCAAATGCTGGGTAAATTTATCATTGAGTTTATATTAGTCATTTTCAATTTGTTGAGACAAATACCTAACACCCACACCTTAGGAGGAAATATTTATTTTGGTTCACAGTTAATAATAGGTTCAGCCCAAAGTCAGCTGGCTGTAAGGCAGAAACAACATCATGGAAGGCTCTGCATAGAGTGGCTGCTCTGTGGCAGCCAGGAAGTAGAAAGAGAAGGGAGGAGGTAGGGATATGAATATTCACTTCCAGATGATGCCCCTAAGTGATCAACCTCTTCCAACCAGGCCCTACTTCCCAGTAGCACATTCAGCTGTGAACTCATCAGTGGATTTATCCAGTAATGAATATAGCACTCCCGTGATCCAATTAACTTCCAAAATCTCACATCAGAATACAGGAAACTGTGGAGCAGGGGGAGTTGTAACAAATATCATTGAGTTTTTAAACTTTTGATGCCAATCCCTTCCCTGAAATTTGGGCATAAGTACTAAGAGGACAAGTTGGAGAACAGTAAGAAAGACATCTTACACCTTTTCACCACATGTGGTCCTCTATCTTAAAAAAACAATGTAATTTGACTCACTTTTAAGGTATTTTTCATGAAATATTTGTACCCTTCCTAGTTCTCCACGCAGGTCCAGGTGTGCCTTACGTTCAGGTCAGACATTGCTAAAGCACATGAGAGGATCTCTACGGTATTGTGCCTTAGAAGTCTTTCCTAAATCTTGTGATTCATTTGATTTAAAGAGTGACTAAAAAGTGTTTATCAGCTGGCAACACTGATGACACCTGTAATCCCAATTTCTTGGGGAGCTGAGGCAGGACGATCAAAATTTGAGGCTAACTTGTGTACCTTAGTGAGAATCTGCCTCAAAATAAAATAAATCAAAAAAAAAAAAATGTGGAGATGTGGCTCAGGGACAAAATGCTTGCTTCGCACATGTGAGGCCCTGGGTTCACTCCCCAGTACTATAGGGAAAAAAAAGGTATTATATAATTTACTTTGAGATGTTTTTGTCAGTTAGATATTACTTTTTCAATTATTTCAACTGACAGAATAATTCCAAAACTATTTTCAGATGAATTTATCTTATGTTTTAGAATGTGCTGCTCTTCATGATATGATAAAAGGGCTACAACAGACTATTGAATATCAACACAATTTGAAAGGTAAGTTGGAAGAGAAATTAAGAAAGCATCATTTGTTTGAACTTCTGTTAAAAATAGAGTTTTTTTTGACTTTGTTGACAATCAGTTTCTATTAATTGGGTATTATTTAATTCATCAGCTAATAGCAAGACTCCTTACTACTTAAAAATACTTTTGAAAGATTATGAAATAAATGCTATACTGAACAGAACAATTCTATCATATTCTGGCAAGGAAATCAGATGTTTTATAGTAGATCATAACCATTCTTTCATTACTTTTAAGTGTTTAGAAGTATATAGTTATCCCTTAGTATCCACTGGAGAATGTTTCCAGGACCATCACAGATACCAAAAGTCTGTGGAAATTCAGATACCTCATAAAAAATAGCATAGTAAGGGGCTGGGGATTTAGCTCAGCGGCAAAGCGCCTGCCTGGCAAGCGCAAGGTCGTGAGTTCGGTTCCTGGTACCAGAGAAAAAAACAAAAAAAACAAAAAAAACAAAACAAAACAAAAAAAAATAGCATAGTATTTGAATATAACCTACTTAGTCCGTCACCCATACTTTAAATCATCTCTATATTACTTATAATACCTTACATAATGTAAGTACTGTATAAATAGTTACACTGTGTTCCTTATGGAAACATGACAAGAATCTAGACATGTGCAGTACAGACACAATTTTTTAAATATTTTTGATCCATGGTTGGTTAAACCCAGGGGAACCCACACATACAAATAGCTAACTGTTCTCATTAACATTCTGGATTCTTTATAAACCTATGTTCAGTTTTGAAATATTGTCATTTACTAGTTAAACCATGAATATTCTTTGCATGCCACAGTTATGATTTACCATTCATTTTTTTTTCATCATAGAGTAGGACTATATCCATGGAAGTGAAGCCAACATATTCACCATATTTCATTTTTAATAATTATGCTAACCCAGTGTGTCTGACATGTGCAAAACAGTGACCAAGTGCTCTGTATTCTCTGATTGAGCTGTGCAGTGGCTGTCAGATTTCCCTCTACTGTTCCAGGTATTAGACTAAATTGTCTTTGGGACCTCTTCCAACATAAAAGTCACATCAGATAAGCATTTGTCTTAGACCTCTTTTTTCATCCATAAGTAAAGCACTTTACATATGTTGGTAAGGTGAACTATTGCTCTTGCTTGTCATCTCTTTAATTTGGCACATTACTGTGTTTGTAATTTTCTAGTTGAGAGGTATCTTAAGAAATAATACTAGTTCTTTCCTCCCATTTCTTTTCCCTAAAATGGAGGCCATCTTGCCACCATCTCAAAGCTGAGGATCCTGAGCAACTTTTCCCTCCTATGTGAAACTCTGTGGATTAAATAAATATGTAAAAGTTCATAGTTTTCTCCAGGCCTCTTATTCCAGGAACCAAATGATATTTAGTTTAACTCCTCCAGGACTTTGTTCAAACAAAATAGCTATTATAGATTAAATACTTTAAAGTTCTATTAAAACAATTATGAGTATATTAAACATTGTTTTTTGTAAAGGATATCAAATAATGATGAACAGTCAAGCATACCATCTTTTTACAGATTTGGTAGTACAAAGTTTTTTTCTCTTTCAAATTTTATTGAGATAAAGTTGACAGTTACAATTATATATATTTAAAATGTACAATTTGATGATTTGATTATAAATATACATTGTGAAATAGTCATGTTATGGCTTATGTCTAGATGTCCTCTGCAAGCCTCGTGTAGTCATAGGTGGAGATTTTTAAGAATTGGCTGAATCTAGAATGTGTGATTGATTCATGGTTCAATGCTAGGATTAAGGGTGCTAGGATTAAGGGTGGGTGATTACTAAATCAGTCCACTGATTGGTTTGGCACTACCCTAATCCTGGTAACCTGGATACAATATAAGGGACAGAAAGAGGTTTGTCTTGCCCCTCTTGCTTGCTTTGCTGCCTCTGGCCCACCATGAACTATTTCTCCTTTATGATGCCTGTCTGCTGTGCCAGCCTGCCTTGGAGCCAGCCTACTGTGGACTGAAACCTCTACAAACTGTGAGGTAAATAAACCTCTCCCCCTTTAACTTTTGGTGCCTGGCATTTTGTCTAAGCAATGAGAGAAAAATAAGACAGTTCACCACCATTGTTAGTTAACCACCATTACCTTTCATAGTTGTATATGTCTCTTTTAGCAAATTTCCAGTGTATAATACAGCAAATTTCAAGTATATATACAGTTGTAAAACTGACTTCTATTGCTTTATTGAAGGAATAGTTAATGTTTAATTGTTTGATCAGTCTTACAAGTCTATATTTGTTTACATGAGTAAACAATTTGAAGATATCAATATGTAATACAACAACCATTGTTAATTTCCTATCACCTTGTCTGAAATTCAATATTGCATGCATTGTTTTTGTGTTATTTTGTAAATGTATGTGTGTTTGTTAATATATTTTCATTCTTTTATCTTTAAAATAAAAAAGTAAATAAAAAAAGTTTTTAAAAAGTATATATATAACACTGTTAACTATAATTCATATTAATGAACTTCAGATTGTTAAACTTACTTCTCTGCTGTAGCTGAAGCTGCTACCTCTTGACCAAATACCCCCCCATATGTACAGCCTCTAGTAACCACTCTTCTACTTTTTATAAGTTTAACTCTTTTAGACATATAATTCAAATCATACAGTATTTGTCTTTATGTATCAGATTTATTTCATTTAGCATCGTGTCCTCCAGGTTCATCCATGTTGTCACAAATGCCAAAATATTCTTTTTCTCTCTTGGGGGGTTATTGGTGGGGATCAAAGCACATGCTTTACCACTGAGCTACGTCTCCAACCCTGATTTCCTTCTTTTTCAAGGCTAAAAAATTCTACTGAATATTTTAAATATAATTATGTTACTTCCTTTGTAATTTTCTAGTTGAGAGGTATCTAAGAAATACTACTAGTTCTTACTTTCCTTCCATTTCTTTTCTGTGACATGCAGGCCAGCATGCCACCATCTCAAAGCTGAGGACTCTTAACAGCTGTGACACCTATAAATAAATATGTGAAATTTAGTTTGCCTACCAATGATTTCCTATCCAGTAGCTATTTTTTCTTCTTAATAAGCACAAGATTTTTTTTCTAAAGTTAACCCTTTGTCCACTTAACCATCTGCCTCAGAGGAAGTTAATTGTACCCCAGCTCCAAGGGAGGAAATTTCTCCTCTTCCTCAAGAGATGGGTTCTGGGGCTGGGGATTTAGCTCAGCGGCAAAAGCGCCTGCTTGGCAAGCGCAAGGTCGTGAGTTCGGTTCCCGGTACCGGAGAAAAACCAAAAAAAAAAAAGAGATGGGTTCTGTTTTTCTGGTTATTATGTGACTATATGTGATGCTTGAAATTGCTTCAGACATCCTGTTTGCAGCCTAAAGATCACACCAGCACTGATGATGGCAGTTGACTCTAAAATAATCTTGTTTCTTAGTAACTTCATTGACCTTGTGAGTCAATTACCCTTGGTATTTGTGAGCCTTTTCAGTTACAATGAGAGAAATGATAGCTCCTTTTATGCTAATCAGTCTTTTCAGTAGAAACTTGTACTTGTAAAAAAGATGATATATTCAGATATAAGAAAAGGATTGGAATTCTTGTACTTATTTTTTATCTAAAAACATCAAAGCACATAAGCCTAGGGAAATTTAATAGAAGGAATAATATCCCTTATTCTTTAGATAAGTTCGTTATGTGTCATTCACACACAAGTTTCTTCTGCAGTGGAAAATAGGAGCTCTAGAATCGAGCAGTTGAATGTTCATTATTTTCTCCAGTCTCAATGTATGTGCATGTAATTAAGTACATGTAGCTGCAATTTCCTCCCTCAACATAGAATAAGCCTTGTCCCTTGGCTCACAGCTCAGGTGGTTTCTGTTCTCCAGAATTTCTCCTGACTTCATAATGAACTAAGCTTTTCTTCCCCAAGTTCCCTCAATCTTTGAGACATACTTCTGTTATAGACCTATAATCATGACATATTATAACTATGTATACATCTATTTTGCCACCAGACTATATCCTTTGTAAAGAACAAAATTTTCTGTTTCTACATCCCCAGTGCCATGTACTGGATGTATATTTGTTGAATGCATACATAAAAGGAAGCTAAAATGCTCAATATATTGCCATATTAATTAAAAATACTATAAATTTGGTTGTTCTTTGATTATTTTTACACAGGTGAAAATGAACAACTAAAAAGAAATGCTGATATGACAAAGGAAAAGCTAAAATCTCAAGAACAGGTGAGTTTATAATTGTATTCAATTAGGTCTTTATAGAACGTTTGTTTATTCAGATCTCTTTTTTGTGGAACCGGAAATTGAACTCAGGACCTCATGCTTGCCAGGCAGGCACCATGCCACTGAACTATATCCCCAGTCCCCATTTATTTATTCAAATTATTAAAAAAAGGCTGTGCTTATTAATAATCAACATTTGTATGCGGATATAATATATATTTGTATATTTTTATATGTTGAAATTATTAATAAGTGAAAATTTATTTTTAAAATGATACAAGTTTTGAGAATCCTAGTCTTGTTATTTTTCAATTAGGATATGTTTGTGGTACATAATGTTTACATTTCTTGTGTGGAGTTGGTAAATGTATACAACACGTCTTAATTCCTTTTATTCATCCTTTCCTTTCCCTCCACACCTATCTTAATCCTCTTCCCATTTAAGAAAGACCTAGCTCCCTACTTCCTATATCTATCATTTATTTTGCTTTTTATTTTGACTCTAGGTTTCTCATATAAGAGAAATCATGATATTTAAGCTTGTCTGTTTGTTTTATCTCACAACATTATACTCTCAAGGTGCATCCATTTTCCTACAGATGACTCAAATTTATTTTTCTTTATGGCAAAGTAGTACTCCACTGTGCATAAATGCCCGTTTTCTTTATCCCTTTATCTATTGATGCACATATAGACCACTTCTGAAATTGAGCTATTGTGAATTGTGCTATGTTATGGTTTGTATCTAGATGTCCTCTTAGTGCCTCATGCAATCATAGGTAGGGCTTTTTGGAGATGGCTGGATCTAGAGTGTGTGATGCTAGGATTAATTCATGGTGTGATGCTAGGATTAAGGGCGCCCCACCCTGAGCGTGAGTGCTACCCATCTTAAAGGCAGGTAGCCGCGATAGAATATAAGGGACAGAAAGAGGGCTGCTGTTGTCTTTCATTGCTTGTAACTTGCTGCTTGCTCCTTTTGCTGCATCCTGCCTTCTATCTTTCATGCCATGAACTGTTTCTCCTCTGCAATGTCTTTCTGCCATGCCTTCCTGCCTTGAAGCCAGCCAGCTATGAACTGAGACCTACAAACTGTGAGCCTAAATAAACCTTTCCTCCTTTAACTTTGGGTATCAAGTATTTTGTCTCAGCAACAAGAAAAGTAGCCTAGACATTCTGCTATAAGCAAGGTTATGCATGTGTCATTGTAATATGTTTAAACTAGACTTTCCTTTACAAAATAGAAAATACTAATGTATCATTTTTCTTCCTACCTAAAAGAGCCCCAATTACTTTGCTGCACATTTTAAATTGTACTAATAGTATTTTTATGCTAATGTATACTCTATTGATTAGTATTTTTAACTTTTCTATTATAAAGTAAATGAGTCTGTAGCTTTTTATGGTATGGTAATCATTGCATCATCCAAATAAAGTGGGCATTTTGTATGGATCACATATTAATTCTTTCCCAATGGCCATCATACTGTCTGCTGCATTTTCTTCTCTTCTATAGGAACAACACAATGATAGTAATTGCAGAACATATATAGCACAGTGCCTAGAAAACCAAAAAGTACTTACTAAATATCAGGTCCCTCTCTCTGCTCTTTGGGAGTTTTATTATGCTAACATTTTACTACCTCATAAGAACAAATATATCAAACTCTGGCAGATCTAAGGTCTTCAAAACTCAGGTTGGATCTGTAACAGACTTTAACTTGAAGGACCTTCTCTAAATTCAGTATGATTCCCATGTAAGGAGCCTCTGAAAGAAATAAGCTAATTCTAGAAACCTGCCCAGGACTTGTGAGTAATATTCTTCAGTCACAAAAATAATTCTGGCTATGTGCTTGGAAAATTTAACTTTTCATCATCAGTTTTGAGGTAGTTTCAGTATCTCTGAGATGTACAACACTCTTTTTTCCTTTTCTTTTCCCTCCTTTTATTCTTTCCGGAACTCATCCTTATCTTGGCTGTAGAGCCTGGTTCAAACTGAATGAAGAGAAACTGTATTGAGCCACATATAAAATATATCAGGTAGTTAATGTGTGTAAGTAAAAATTCTTCCTTCAGGGGCTGGGGATTTAGCTCAGCGGCAAAAGCGCCTGCCTGACAAGTGCAAGGTCATGAGTTCGGTTCCCGGTACCAGAGAAAAACCAAAAAAAAAAATACTTCCTTCATTTTTTATATTTTAACTTTTTATTAAATAACTAGCCTAAGTAAATAAAAAAATTACATACCTGCTTAATTATAATAATCATCTGTCTTCATAAGCACATATGCATGTAAGTAGATTGAAATACTATTTATTACCAGTAATTGCTGCCTTTTACTCAGCAAGCCACACAAGTTCATATAACCTCTGATACAGATTTCATGACCCTGACTGTGTGTGTGGTGGGCATAAGAGGCAGAGTTAGTACTACACAATAAAGTTATAAAAATATCATTAAAGTTTGTATAATAATGTTAAAAGTTTATGATCTTATGTAACCACATTAGTAGCTGTCCAGGCCCATGAGGCCCCAATGCCGTGAGTTGGACATATATGCCTTAGAGCTTAACATTAGGTAATGAAGTCAGGTTGTAATTGGAGCAAGGAAAAAACTTTACCACTTTTCCCTTCTAAAGCGTCATGCTCTGGAATACTACCTTGTCTACAGTACTATAACAATGTTCAGAGAGGTGGAAAATAAAGTGAAAATGCCATGCACCAAGATTCTTAATTTCTTAATCAGCTGCCATCCAATAGAAACTAAAGTTACCTTGATCAAATGAAAATTGACCAATACAAAACCTCTAGGTACAACCAACATTCATGGAGAACCACTTTCTAGAAGCAATCTCTGTGGGCTCTTAATGGTAATATTTGTGGTACTTGGAGGATTTTTATAATTTAAACATAGTAAGTCCTTAAATGTTATAAAAAGAATACAAGCAAAGACTATCCCTTGAAATTAATATTCCCAGAAAGCAAAGGAGAAAAAATTGTAATTTACTTCATAGTCCCCTTAGAAAAAAAAAGAAGAAATTAATCCATTAGCTAAGGCTAGCTTGGGCTTCAGTGAAGGAGAAGAACATATTGATATACTCCAGCTCAACCTACACATTAGGATAACCCTTATGCCTGGAGGTGAGAGTGAAAAATCAGTCTTACCACTACTTTAATGGTGGCATCTTCAAGTGTCAAAGTCAGTAGCGACAGAAAGGTACACAGAACTTTCCCTTGTGGTTTCTAAAAGAAGCAGTGATTTAGTGTCCTCTATGTAGTTTTTTAGAAGCCATTCTTTATGGCTTTTCTAATTGATTATCTAGAAACGTAGACATATATATAAAATGAAAATAGGCAACTTGTGACATTCACCCTTTTACTCATCTGCTCACCTCTAATAAGAGTCAAGCAGTTGGATAGGGTTGGCTATTCCTACAATTGAATTGCAGGATAAGTAGCACAAATAGGAATCTAGACTATATCCTGTGAACCAGGGCAATCTGTAACAATGTGTGTCTGTTTTTAATTATAGATATATGAGCAAGTACATCTTGACTCTTTTTGTTATTCTCTTTTGGTTTTACCTTCTCAGTACCACAAAATATCTATTCATAGGCTGATCCATTTTTGGGAAAAATATATACACATAAATTTTGCATGAAATTTCAGAATATCAATGGACTCTGAAAAGCCCATTCATTGGGTCTAAGCTAAGCACTCTGACTTAAATAATTCTTATTGACATTCCCATTCAACAAATGTTCATCAAGGGCATCTGAGATGAATACACACTTCTCAGATGAAGAAATACAAATGGCAAATAAATACATGAGAAAATGTTCAACATCATTAGTCATTTGAGAAATGCAAATTAAAACAACATTGAGATTTCATCTCACCCCAGTTAGAATGGCTATCATTAAGAAATCAACCAATAACAAATGCTGTGGAGAAATAGGAACTCTTC